TGTGTCCCGTGGACACAGCCGATGACAGATCGCGCCGATGCGCGGCTTGTTTTGACAGGACGTCAACGGCGAGTGTCCCGCCCGGCCGTCAATCTGCTATAGGCTGGAGTGGGACGGTGTTAACCCCTGCCCACCAGCCGTATGAATATATGTGGCAGTACAAGAGTTGTCCTCGTCCTGTGCTGCCACATATGTCGGTTTTGTGTCAAGTCAATGCACATATTTGCCAGCACGCCATGGGTCATCAAATGTTGTCCAAACGTTTTACTGAAGAATGATCACATCACAAAAAGGACATTTTCAGAGTCACACAGGGCCCCTTCATCAGGCATGTGATGGACACATGCATGGCAAATATGCGCTACTTCTAAACCCATCTGAGGAATGTGCGCGATGGGAACATTGACATTCTGTTTGGTGTCAGCAGCACATTCAATCACACGCCCTCAGCACTCCACTGAGGATCTGGAACCAGTATGACAGGCATTTCACAGTGATCACATGACCAGGAAGCTGATGTAGACAAAATGAACACTTTTGTTTCTGTGATTTATTATGGGTAGAAACAAATACCGCACACATTTGTGGTATCTTCATGCGTGTCAGGAGTAGAAGAATTTATATTCCGATGTTTTCTGGTGGTGGGTCATAGTAATGGTAAGACATAAAGCGAGCTAAAGCTTAACCACGTTCCCATGTATATAAACAGCCGGACGGGAGCAGTGCAGGAGCGGGTGGCTGTTTATAAACGGCCTCCACATTCACTGCCTGTGCGTGCTCCCTGGGAGTGCACGGCACCGCGATCCGATGCCTGCTGTGTCCTCTGGATCGCTGTACGGGACCTCTGTGTGAGGTCCCGATCTTGTGATCACTGATTGGCCAATCAGTGATCACATGAATAGTAGTAAACAAGATGTCACTTCTTGACATCATTGCTTACTACGTGTGAAATCTGTGTATAACCAGAGGTCACATGGTACAGGGTCATTCAAAAGAGCCTTGCACCATGTGACAAGCTGTGACCAATCACAGCTCTCACAGTATTTCTCAATGGCTGGAAGAATTTATTTATTTATTTATTTATCGAGTTTATATAGCGCCAAAGGGTTTGCTCAGCGCTGTACAATAGAGGGGGGACAATACATGAAACAGAACAGTATCATCAAACAGCACACGAGGGGTTAGAGGGCCCTACTCTTTCGAGCGTACAAAAATTATTGCTTCTACAGTGGGTGTGAAAGCAAACAGTGTGTGTGTGTGTGTATATATATATATATATATATATATATATATATATATATATATATATATATATATATATATATATATTATCTTCATCACCCCCCACAAGTAGTACAATGTCACTATGGTGACACTGTACTGCTAGGGTGACAGTATGTTAAAAAAAATAAATAAATAATAACATAAAAAATAAAATAAAAACGTAAACTTTTTTTTTTTTAAAAAATAAAATTTTTGGTTATAAACTAATTTGGGTTGGGTTTTTTTTTTCCTTTTACTAAAAAGATAGCTGAATACATTTTGGCCAAGATTTATGAAGAAAGATTATTTATTTCCAAAATGTTGTAAGAAAAACACTTTTTTTTTCAAAATGTTTGGACTTTTTCATTTATATAGCAAAACAATAAAAATCCCAGCGGTGAATAAATACCACCAAAATAAAGTTTCATCTGTCTCAAAAAAATGCTAAAAAATTCATATGGGTACAGTGTAGCATGACCGCGAAATTGTCATTCAAAGTGTGATACCTGGACTGGAAGGGGGTGAAAGTGTCCGGACTTGAAGTGGTTAAATTAGAACTCTAGGCAAAACTTTTTTTTTTTTTTTTTTGCATTTTGGATACAGTAAGAGAGGGTTACAACCCCTTTCATGTAATTTTTTTTTGCCATCTGTATCCCATTGGGGAGATTTCCCTTCACTTCCTGTCCCATAGACAAACAGGAAGTGAGGAAATCCCTGCAAATTCAGGGAATCCCTTGGGGACCATTTGAAAATTTCCCCTCTATTACTTTTCTGGGGAAAACCCATAATTTGGAATTTTCTTTTACTTTCAAAGATAATGGTAAACAGAATGAATAGAGAGGGGGAATCTTCTTAACGGGGGCACAGACAGAAATAAAAACCTGACAGGGGTTCTAATTCTTCTCCACGGTCTCAAAATAAAAAAAAATTAAAAAAAGAAGTTTTGCCTTTAGTTATACTTTAAAAAATAAAAATATTAACATTTACTGCCAAATGAAGGCACACAGGATTAAAAAAAACAATTCATTACCTTTTCTGATCCAATTTTACCTTCTCCATCTCTCTATGTAATGCAGTGATCTGAAAAATGAACATATACATTGAACATGCGGTCCACTAGAACAGCCAACTATATGGAAGAGTTGCATATGTAATTCCAAAATATTAAAGGCTGCAGACATTTTCTAAATACCAATGGATAGGTTCGGAATCACTTTATTGTGTCACAATGATACGGTTTGCTTGTGACACTACAAAGTTCGGCTAAAGCGAACACAGCAATGAACAGCTTCTTCGCTCACTAAACCCCAGCTGTTTAGTGTGTAGCAACTGTCTGTTCCGGCTACAATGAGTCAGCAGTAGACAGCAGTGTGTGTGTCTGTGTGTCTCCATCCTTGGCCCGTGGTACCTGTAAGAACAGTGCTATCCATCCTTCTTCAGGACCCTAACCACTTGTGGACCGCCCGACTGCAATGTACTGTGGGTGGGTGGTCCGCACGGGCAAAGTGACGTACCCGTAACATCGTTGCCTGCTTTCGGGTTTAAGGCGTGTGCATGTGCGCCGCCCGCCACCACCCACTGTGATTGTACGCAGCGGGAGCCTGTCAGCAAGTCCCAGCCAATGATTCACAACTGGGATCCGCTGATCAGCTGTGTCCAATCACAGCCCATAGCACTGTGTCAACAATCAACACAGAGCTCTGGGTTTAGGGTTTAGGGTGTGTGCATGTGCGCCGCCCGCCACCACCCACTGTGATTGTACGCAGCGGGAGCCTGTCAGCAAGTCCCAGCCAATGATTCACAACTGGGAAGCGCTGATCAGCTGTGTCCAATCACAGCCCATAGCTCTGTGTCAACAATCAACACAGAGCTCTGGGTTAAGGGTGTGTGCATGTGCGCCGCCCGCCACCACCCACTGTGATTGTACGCAGCGGGAGCCTGTCAGCGAGTCCCAGCCAATGATTCACAACTGGGAAGCGCTGATCAGCTGTGTCCAATCACAGCCCATAGCTCTGTGTCAACAATCAACACAGAGCTCTGTACAGAGGGCATCTCTGTGCTTCTTACAGAAAAACAAACATATCTGTAGTAAAAGTGAGCACACATTATACACGGTTAGGCACACAGTTAACCCTTTGTTCACCATAGTTAACCTCTTCCCAGCCAGCCACAGTTAACCCTTTGTTCACCATAGTTAACCTCTTCCCAGTCAGCCACAGTTAACCCTTTGTTCACCCTCTTAGATGTTTAGATGTTAACCCCTTCCCAGTCAGCCACAGTTAACCCTTTGTTCACCATAGTTAACCCCTTCCCAGCCCAGCCACAGTTAACCCTATTTGTTCACCATAGTTAACCCCTTCCCAGTCAGCCACAGTTAACCCTTTGTTCACCTTAGATGTTAACCCCTTCCCAGTCAGCCAGCGTCAATTATTTATCACTGATCACTGTATTAGTGTCACTGGTAATATCAGTGGCAGTTAGTCAGTCCCCCCCTCCACGTTAGTTTGTTTTAGATCACAGTCCCACTATAAAAGTCGCTGATCACCCCCATCAGTAGTGTATATGTATTGCATAGATGTATTCACTATCACTTTGCCCAGAATGAAATGTAAAAGTCAGATGACTGAACAGAGTTGTGTGTGAGTTTTCCTCCTACACCTTCCAGGATATGAAATACTCACTCTCTCCCCATTGCTTATCAGGGTCTTGTCCCAGAGATTGACTTGTGTGGCTTGTTGCAGGAAATGCTTCTCTTGATCCTCAAGCTCTAAACTCCATTTATTAATGAGGTTTTCGAGTTGCACGTAGGTCATTACGGCAGGTGCACTAAACAGGAGAGAAATCACAGAAAGCATTGACTAAAACCCTAACTTTTTTTCATGTCTGGGCCTTCCTTTAAAGATTTCTTTTTTTAAATTCTTTTTATTGAGCTTATCATAAGAAAAAAAAAGGTACAAACTGCGAACCAACAAGGAGCAAAAAATGTACAATAAAAAAATAAAGAAATCAAAAACCAAAAGAGAAACAGAACATCAAAAAACATTTTGTTTTGTATACATTGTGAGCCTCGATTACAGCCCTCCTACCTTCTGTATACAGCGGGTATAGAAAATAATCTCCCCCCCTTTAAAATAATCACATTTTGTTGCTTTGCAGTCTGAAATGAAGACAAACACAGTTTTTGTTTTATCCAGCTGTATTTACTCCAAGTGAAAGATATAACACCAGTATGTCAGGAAAAAAAAAATACAAAAAAAAGAATCACAGATTTGGAAACAGGATCACTCCCTTCTAAAAATGTAAACTCAATCAGGTGTAGCTAATCACCTTCTCAATGGCACACAAAGCCATTTGACTTTCAACTGTGATCAGCTGGGGTCATTGTGATTAGCTCAGCATGAAAAGAGCTTTCCTGGAGCATTTCAGTCAGCTGAAGCAAACAATCAACTATGAGTGGCAAGGCACTGTCAGCCAGGATAAAGATGTGGACAGGCATAAGTCAGGAGATGGATATAAAAAAATTTCAAAGGCCTTATCAATGCCTAGAAGCAGAGCGAAGTCTATTACACTGTTCAACAGGTAAAAAGTTTTGGGCATAAAATTAGCTAATCTTACATAATTTTGGGGTGCTGAAAACGAAAATGACCCTAAAAAATGTTGATTGGCTCTAGTTTCCATGATATATTCACCCATCTAATGACGTAAGCCATTCAAAATTATGATGCAACTTCAGCTGCATATTGCACAATTGATACTGGTGACCAATAGAAAATGTCATGTATACTGAGATGATGCAATATTAGCCTTTAATTGCATCACTTCACTGCATAAAAGCTGCAGTATCTGTAGCTGATTGTAGTTGGACAGCGTCTTTACATTTCGTTTATGCTTATATAGGCTACTCAGTAATGCCTCGAACTTGTGTGAATAAAGCAGATAATTTCTGCTATATCTGCGGTGAAATAACTTTTATCTCACAAAAAAGGAGGATAACAGGAATGATTAAGAAAGCCTACAACTTGTATTTTGGCTGCAAGATAGGAGACCAGGACAAGAGCTGGGCACCACATATATGCTGCAATTCTTGTGGGACGGCACTGGAGCAATGGTTTGAATGGAAAAAAGGCATCTATGCCTTTCGCTGTGCCAATGATTTGGAGAGAGCCAACAGATCATGTTAGTAATTGTTACTTTTGTATGGTGCCTCCAATTGTAAAAGGGCTAAATAAGAAGAAAAAGTTATCTGTGCACTATCCAAATATTCCATCGGCAATACGTCCAGTTCCTCATGGAGAGGGGCTACCAATTCCTAAAGCACCAGAATCCTTCGTGGTTGAGTCAAGTGAGGAAGAACCTGAAGCGTGTAGTCACGTGCAGTTGTAAGAGATAGCCCTTTCCTCGAATACAAGAGAAAAGCCAAGAGAAGCAAAACCGACACAAACTGAAGACAAAACTAGTGAGAATCCTAAGTATTAAAATGATTCAACTTAGCTTATGGCTATAATTTTTCTTGGTAATCCTATGCAATATATTATGCCATTTAGGCTTTGTTATGTAGTCAATATCACTTGCTTTAGATTTGTGGAAAGACATCTATCTATATAATTATTGTGCATTATGTAGTCATTACGCCTATAGTAGAAAACTTTCCGTTTACAGAAAAACTAGAGCCAATTGACAAATTTCATTGTTATATTTGAACTCAGAATGTGAAATTCATTAAGAAATGGATCCTTTTGTTTCCAAAACTGACAAAAAATAAAAATTTGTTGAACAGTGTTATTAGCAAGTGGAAAGTATTTGGTACAACACAGACCCTCTCTGGATCAGGACGTCGCTCCAAACTGGATGAAAGAGCCAGGAGGACAGGTCAGAGAGGCTACCATGATGCCTACAGCAACTCCAATGCTGTGTCAGGAATTGATGACAAAGAGCGGTCATTGTATGCATGTGACACCAATCTCACAAATCCGCCACAAATGTGACTTGTCTGGGAAGGGTGCAAGAAAAAAGCCGCTCCTCAAGAAAGGCCAAATGCCATCACCACTGAGCTTTGCCAAAATGCACCATGAAGATTCTGAGGCCACATGGAAGGTGTTCTGGTTAGAGGAGACTAAAATGGAATTATTTGGCCCCAACACTAAATGATATGTCTGACGGAAATCCAATCCAGCTCACCATCCAAATCCCACCATTCCTGCATGGAGGGGGGAATATCCTGTTATGGGGTGTTTCTCTGCAGCCGGGACTGGAGAACTTGTCAGGATAGAAGGAAAAATTAATGGAACAAAATACTGTCACATTCTGGAGGAAAATCTGCTGCAGAAAGTTGTCAATCCAACAACATGACAACATGGCCTAGTCAGAGCCCAGACCTAAACCCCATTGAAAATCTGTGGAATGACTTCAAGACTGCAGTCCACAAAAGGTTCTCGTCACATTTAACTGAACTTGAGAAGTGCTGCAAAGAAGAGCGGGCACATATTGCAAAGTCTGAATGTGCAAAGTTAGTAGAGACAAATCCCAACAGACTAAAGGCTGGAATTAAAGCAAAAGGGGGTTCAACGAAATACAGACACAAGGAAGGGGGGGGGATTCTTTTTCCAGCTCAGTGATTCTGATTTTTATTTCATTTTATTTTTTTCACACATGTTGGAGTTATCTCTTTCAAAATAGAATAGAATTGGATAGAACATAAACTGCGTGTGTTTATTTCAGCAAAATGTAATTATTCAACCCCTTGACGCCGACGTCACACAAATATGCAGCCTCACAGAACTGGGCTTTTTTCCGTGGGGCAGCATATTTGCGCACCTGTCTTTCTGCTGGGAGGGCACCGCACTGCGCACTCCCACCACAAACGCCTCGTTGTCACTGAGAGCCCTGGGTCCCGTTCTAACGATCGGGACCCGGGACTCCCGATTCCGGGTCACAAGATCGCTGTGATAGCGTCTGATTGGCTATCACAGTGACCAGTCACTGTACAGCCCGGCCCCCTTGTTTGTTTTTTTTTTTCTCAATCTATTGGGTAGGACAGAGATTTGTATCTCCCCAATAAAAAAAAAATTTTGTTAAAAAAAAAAAAAAAAAAAAAAATAAAAGAAAAAATACCTAATTAAGGTTTGATCTAGTTCAGTGCCAGGGTTTAGTTTTTGGTCAAGGTCAAAACTTAAGAAAAAAAATTGGTGTCAGTGTGTTTTAGGTAAAAAAAAAAAAATGTGCACTATTGTTTCTGGG